GCCGGATTCAAAAAGACAGCCGCGTCCTCAGGTGCCAGCCCCTTTCCCCGCGCGCGAGCCCCCTACCTCTGTGCTTCTCTTCTGCGGCTTCTCTGGCTCTGAGTGTGCTTTTCTTTCCTTCTAGTTGTAGAATTTACAGTCAGCCAGGCTTCCTGTGGTTCTGGATGATGTCCGTATTGTTTTTCTGAGGTATTAATCAATTGTTGTGAGCGGCATCAACTTCCCGGTGTTTATCTCTGCCGCCATCTTAGTTTCTCCCCCCATATTACCCGAAAGCTTTTCTCTTTAGAAAGCAAGAATATTATCATAAAATTCATATTAAATAAGCATGAAACCTTGTATCAAAATAAATTCCAGATCAATTAGGGATTTAAATGTGAAAAAAAAAGTACTGGTGATTTGTTTTATGGTCTTAGGATAAGTGGAATTTTCTAAGTATGACACCAAATAAAAAACCATAAAAGAAAATATTTATCAATTACATTAATAAATTAAAAATAAGTGCTCTCACCTGGAGGTTTCCCCCACTTTGCTTCCTCTCAATCCCTAATCTATAACCAACAAATGTCATGTAACCCACTTACAACTCCTCTTTTGATAGTAATGTATGAAACAGTGTGAAACTGCCACTTTTCCAGAGCATTTTTTCAATACACCAAGACTGCTTCCTGCCAATTGTCAGTTTGGCTCCAATAAACTCACAAAAATTCTCCACAGGTTTGAATTATGTTTATGTTGAAACACGCTTGTTATAAAATTATTTCAAACAGTAAGACAGATATAAATCAGATTTATTTTATCCTAGCCATACTTCCTACCCAAATCTCCAGTTGCTTTTGTTTTTTATTTTATACAAATGGATTTACACTATATAATTTAATAACTTTAAGGCACATAATTTTAGTCCATAAATTCAATCTTAATTTTATATACTACCAATGGATTAAAGAAAATACTTTTAAGGCTTTCTTTTTTATTGTTGTTGCTAATCCTCACCTGAGGATATTTTTCTATTGACTTATTTTTGGTAGAGAAAGTGGAAGGGAGGGGGAGAGACAAAGAGAGTGAAACATCGATGTGAGAAAGACAGGTTGATTGGTTGCCTCCCACACCAGGGCTGGGGATAGAGCCTGCAACCAAGGTATGTGCCCTTGACTGAAACCAAATCTGGGACCCTTCAGTTCACAGGCTGATGCTCTATCTACTGAGCCAAAACAGCTGGGGCAAGGCTTTTTTCTATGTATTCTTTTAATATCAACAATTTTAAATATAATCCCATACTTAGTAGTTGACTGGTTTAAGTTATTAAAATAGTCCAGATTTAATTATGCCCTAGAAGGCTGCTAGACTTACACTGATCCTCTAACTCAGTCAGTTTAATTAACATAGGTAAAATTACCTGTTTCATCATGGTAGTTCACAGCTTCTGTCTCTATCCATGCATTATCAGTGTTCCGAGGATCGTCAACATATCCCTTATATATCTATTTTTATGAGGAGGCAGACAAAAAAAAGGGTAGGGTGAAACAGAAATTCGTGGAGCAAAAGCGTGTTAATTGTCGTTAAAATCAGCAATGTAAATATCTTGTTCCAAAGAAACATGCATATAATTAACACTAGAGGTGCAGTGTGCAAAATTCGTGCATGGGAGGGAGTGTCCCTCAGCCCAGCCTGCACGCTCTCTAATCTGGGACCCCTTGGGGAACTCCCTCTCATAATCCAGGACTGCTGGCTCCTAACCACTCACCTGCCTACCAGCCTGATCACCCCTAAGTGCTCCCCTGCAGGCCTGATTGACATCTAACTGGTCCCCTGATGGCCCGATTGCCCCCAAATGCCTTCCCCTGCCGGCCTGGTCACCCCCAACTGTACTCCCTGCTGTCCTGATCTTGACCCCAATTGCCCTCCCTGCCAGCCTGATCGCCTCCAAATGCCCTCCCCTGCTGGCCAGGTCGCCCCCGACTGCTCTCCCCTGCAGGCCTGGTCACCCCCTACTGTCCTCCCCTGCAGGCCTGGTTGCCCCCAACTGCCCTCCCCTGCCATCCCCATCGCCCCTAACTGCCCTCCCCTGCTGGCCTGTTCATCCCCAACTGCCCTCCCCTGCTGGCCTGATTGCCCACAAGTGCCTTTCCCTGTCGGCCATCTTGTGATGACATGAGGGCGGCCATCTTGTGGCAGCCATCTTGTGATGACATGATGGCATCGCACGAGGGCGCGAGGACCACCTAGGCTTTTATTAGTATAGATAACTGTTCACTTAAAGTAGTTAAGAAAGTAAATTATATGTGTTTTTTACCACAATAAAAAAAATATAAATACCTTAACACCTTTAATATAGCATTCCTTATACTTATTTTAAATTTCCCAAAGAACAATATTCTCAAGAACCTTTGAGGCAGCTTTAAAATTCACAAAACCCTCAACACCTCAGATTCTAATTTCAGAATTTAGTAACAATAATATTTGGGTCATATGGTTTTTAGTCTTTATAATTTAAGTCTCTGTTAAATGAGATATACGAGTAAAGTTAGTAAAGACTAATATTTAAACTATTAATACATGAAAATATTTGGATCTAGCTAACACAAATGTGACCTGGATGATACAGATAAATAATTAAGAAATCCTAATTCTAAAAAGAAAACAAAGCAATAAGAAAAGCCAACAAAAAAAAGAAAATAGGTCCTTTCCTTATTATTAGTGTACATATACCTTATAAGGTGATTTTTAAATTTTTACAAAGGATATGTAGACAAAACAGACATGAGATTTAAATAGTTATAAACCAGAGAAACCCTGAATAACATAATTTCAAATGTAAATGTCCTTTCAAAAGAGCTGAATTCATGCAAAAACAAAAATTAATGTTTTCTGTTGGATGGGTGAGCTCAGTATTACATTAGCTCACACCTAGTCTGAACCAAAAACTAAGAGAAAAAAATTTGTTATAATAATCTAGAGGCCCAGTGCACAAAATTCGTGCATGGGTATGGTCCCTAGGCCTGGCCGGTGATCACGGCCAATAGGGGCCTTCTGGCCGCTGGCCGGGGCCTTTCTTCCCTGGCTGCCGGCTGGGGCCTTCCTTCATTCTGCGTCGCCCCCTGGTGATCAGCGCACATCATAGCGAGCAATCGAACTCCCAGTCTCCCAGTTGAACTCCTGCGGAGGCACTCTGCATATTAGCCTTTTATATATATAGATGATGTAATCGAACTAAAGTTGGGCTATAAAAATAAATCTATTTACAGTGTAGACGTACTACAACTTTACGTTATTTTATGAACAGGTATTACAAACATACAATATTTCACTTTATTCAGAGAATGATCTACCAGATTTCCAGGTGAACTTTAAGAAAGTCTCACTAATGCATAGGACTAACTCCTTCCTGGGACCCACCATTTCTTACCACTAGATGTTCCTGGCTGAAGAGTTTGTGCAACTGTTCCTCTAATTGTTTTTTTTCAGCACTGGATTTCTGTAAGGAGTTGAGCGCTTCCTCACCAAATTCTCTCTTCAGTGTAGCACTAATCTTCTCTCCTGGGTCCACCATTCCCTAAGAGCACATTTAAAAAAGAAAAAAAAGTAAGAAAAGTAATAAGCTTTAATTTATCCAACAAATATTTACTGAGTAATGCATGGATCTTTACTGGTCTATCTGCCCATAAACATGATCCCTATTCTTCTGTCATATATTCTTCCCTAAACCATGTGTTTCCAGTAGAAGCAACCTATCAGGGTATCTCAGATATATTTGACCACAGTAATTAGTCCAAGGTTAGCCTATGGTAAACTGAGCGAATCAGACTCCTTTCCAACTAAGGAAGGAAGGCCTGGAGGCAAGAAAGAATACAGAAAATTGATACTTTCCCCATCGTTCATTCCATTCCAGCCACACTGACCTCCTCAATGTTCTTAAGACATGCCAGACATACTCTCATCTTAGGGACTTTGCACCTGCTATATTACTTCTGTCCAAAATGCTTTTCCTCAAGATATCCACATAATTCACGCATTCACCTCCTTCAGATCTTTAGTAAAGGTCTTCTCAGGGAGACCTTCTCTAACCTCTCTGTCTAAAATGGCAAAATCTTCCAACACGTCCTAGTGTCCTTCCTTAAAATGTATCACCTTCTAAGATATAATTAGTTATTTATCTTATGTTATCTGTCTCCCCCACTAGAGTGTGAGCACCAAGAGGACAGGGATGTTTGTTCATGTTGCTCTGTTGCATCCTCAATGTCTGCATTGTTAGATGACAAAATATACTGATTAGATGAATGACTCTCAAAATGATATCAGTGACAACAATCGCCTGACTAATTGGAATTTCAAATGAGAATAAAAATATAAAATCTTATGACAAAATCATTATTGCATTTTGTAATCAGTATGAGCAAAGTATTACTATTCGGCTTGTAATAATTAGCCTAGGCTTTCATCACAGTCAGCTGATATTCATTTCCATTACACTTTTATCTTACAAAGAAAAAACAATTCTTGCAAATAGGGGTATGTGTATAAAAAGTCATCCTCTTGTAAAAACATCTCCATTTAACATTAGGGCATTAAATATAAAACTCTCTGCCATACATATAAACATTTTTTTAAAGTCATTTAAAATATGCTACTGGGCCCTGCCTGGGTGGCTCAGTGGTTGAATGTCAACCTATGAAACAGGATGTCATGGTTCAATTCCTGGTCAGGGCACATGCCTGGGTTGCAGGCTCAATCCCCAGTGTGGGGTGTGATTCTCTCTCATACTTGATGTTTCTATCTCTCTCTCCCTCTCCCTTCCTCAAATCAATAAAAATATATTAAAAAGTAATTGGAGAAAAACGGAATGTTGGGGAAGAATCTATCCATTTAACTTAATTTGCTGAGAAATAAGGGAAGGATCTTCTTGATTTAGTTTTTCATGATGAAAAAGGGCCCACCAGTGTCTGGTCTCTATCTTAATGGCCAGAGTTCTGAGGGTGTGTGCTTCCGGGGGTTGGGTGACAGGCACTTCACTCAGCACCAAGGGGACCGAGACCAGCAGAGGGTGCTGGAAGCGGGTGTGGAGTTGCTGAGGCAGAGCAGAACGGTGGTCAGTCGGTGTAGCTTCCTTGTTGCCAGAGTATCTTAAAAATATGTGCGTTATGAATTTCATTATACATGCTTAAAATCATGTTTACTGGAGATAACATGTACATTTAGAAATAGTATATTCTGCTTTCAACTTAGAAAAGACATTTTCT